AAATATTTTTGGTGGTTCCACCAGCTTTGTTCAGTACTGTGTATTTACTGAAATTAGTGTGATTTAGCCTTGTCATTTTTTGGTGGTTACACCAGCATCAGTTCAAATTGTTGAATTCTTTTGCTCATCATTTTTACGGCGGAATTTGGTGGAACCACCAAGATCATGTTTAGATTTTTCCACCTCTGGGATTTTTTTAATTCAATATTAAGAATGGTTTAGCCTTCACGTCTGATTTAATCTTATTTCACGACAGGAAATTGGTGGCTTCACCAAGTCCTAAATTATGAATGCATTTAAGCGATTGGTTTAAAATATTTTTGGTGGTTCCACCAGCTTTGTTCAGTATTGTGTATTCACTTAAGATTTGCGAAAAATGTTTTTAAAACCATATTGTGTAATCTTGGTGACTTCACCAATTTTTGTCAATTCATTTTCAGATGACTTCAGTTTTGGTGGAACCACCAAGATCATTGTTGATATTTTTCATCTCAGATATATTCATTCAAATAAAATGGTGTAATCACCACATTTTAGCCTGGATGTGATATTCTAATAACTTAGAATCTGCTTTTGCTGCAAAAAAGTGGTGGCTTCACCAATTTTTCGTTGTGTTAAATACAAAAATGAAATAAAAATAATCTTCATTTCTTAAATTGCCTTGTACTCATTTTTCATATTCCATTGAAAAAAGAGGACACGAATAGAAAATCCTCTTTCTTAATGGAAACAGTTACTTGTTTACCTTTTACCCCCCCCCCCCCCCCCCCCCCCCCAAGAAAAATTATTATTATTTTTTTTTTACAAATGTCACATTCGTTATTTTCTTTTCTTTAGTGAATGTCCTTCTTGTCAGTCTGAAAAATGAATGCTTGCAGTAAACAGTCTCATGAACAAGAATCATCAATAAACACAAAAGAATATAATTTTTTTCAGCTCACTAATTGTTTTCCCATAAGTGGATTACGTTAACATTTCTTCTCAAAGCAATATCCTTCATTTTCGTTCAGCAGTGGGTGACCCAACAAATAAACGCTTATCAAGTTGCCCTCTCGTGGTTAAAATCTCGATGTGGCATGTCAGATTCGTTTTGCGGCAAAATGCGTCTATCCATATGTACCTCTGAAATTGAAAGTGAAAGTAGGAAGTTCAAGAATTTTCAAGGATATTATAATACATAAAACAATTCTGTTGATCATCTTGAAAAATTACAAGTCATTTTTCAAAGGAAAAAACTCCTTATCAATACGTATGAGGCTCAATTAAGGATATCCGATCCTCAGCCAGGAATATGTACACTTAAATACAGTGTAGATTAGATTTATAAGAAGGAAAGGGTTTTTTAAGTTTGTTTTGATCTGCTCAATGGAAGTTGCAGTTTCACACTGAACAAGATGAAATAAGCCCTGTCTACTTTTCCCCGAATCGACATTGTTTAGTGAAATCTTCTATAGGACATGTACAATTCGCTAATGTTTAATACAGGGTTGAATTAAATACAAAGAACTATATGCGATATATTGCATATATTTGCCCCCACAAAAGTCAAATTTTGAAATCTTCCTGAAATGTGCTGAATTCAATAAATTGTATGAGAAATATAAATTAACAGAAAATATTATAGTGTCAAAGCAGTGTATTCACAATTTTTGTTTTTATGACGTCACAAACTAGTCCGATTTTATATCCTTTTTCAGAAAGAGGACAAAATAGACAAAATTTCAACAATTTTAGCTTTAAAATTTATAGAGCGCAAGTTTGTTCAGGAACAATATTGACATATTTCATTGATATTATCATTCTACACATTATATTAAAATATTGATCCTAAACACACATGCGCTCGGTGACTTTTACTAAAAATATCGACAGAATATGTACATTTTTCTGTAAAATTCATAAAAAACGGAAATTTACGTCATATTTGTGACGTCATTACGTACATATGGCGTCATTACTTATGCAAATATTCAGTGCTTTGAAGTCATATACTCCCCTTTTTAAGAACTTAATTAAATATATATCCATCAAAGTTTGATTTTGGGGGCAAATATTGGTTATTACCGAATAAAGTTCTATAATATTAAATTTGAAATACATCAAAATGAAGCTTGAAAATGATTTTTTTTCATGCAACAATTTTCATTTTATTCATCTTTATAAGATTCAAGGTTTTTGGAAGCCTTAGACATTTGTAACCTTCAAAAGGAAAAAAAATAATACAGTTTTAGAGAAATGAGATTTTCCTGAATCCAGCCTAAAATATCAATGCTTATTAGCATGATATGAAATGAAAGGTAAGTTTTGGTGTCTTGCAATGATAGCAAAAGCCTTTTACACTATGTATTATAGAATAAATGACAGAAAATAGAAGACAAAAATACCAAATAAGTAAAAGAAATAATGACAATATCTCTGAAGGCCTGGATACCTATCGTTTTTTAACCTTAAATATATATTTGTTTATCAATTTGCAATTAGACAATGCATTGCTAATATTCCAATTCGCTTTTTCTGCAATAATATTGGAGATTTGACAATTTTCCCTATATAATATGATTAACTTGAATCTTTAAAATACTATGGATAAATTTACATAGCTTTTTGGATTCAGAGATGCTTTTATGAGTATTTTTGATTACTTAACTGCTACATTTATAAACCTGATGATCGGACTACCGTAAGTACATTATGATACATGTATTAATTTTACTTACTCAAGTCTGCAGTTGAAGGATCTTGTAATGTGTATTTTATTATGCATCACTTATCTTAAAATATTGCTTGTAGGGAAGACATCAGTTGATTTGTTTACATATAGTCCTGTTGTGCATGTACACAATTTAGAATCACCATTAACATTCCTGTGCTTTTCATATAATGCAAAACTAAGTCAAAAGTATCTGAATTTAAACTTCTAGAACGCTGGAGTAATTGTGCGAGCATTGACATATACTGTATACAATGAGTCCTGAAAATCTACTGAAAATGGATTTTGCAATACTTTATTATTTAACAACTGGTTTTGTCTAAAATTTGATACGAGTGAACATAAAGTAGCACGACATTTTTATGTATCATTTCATTTGATACTACTATATACTGACATATATTTACCTATAATCATTCATACAAAACATATTGTCAGTTCATTAGTAATATTAAAGTTTGGACCTGGTGCCTTTTTTAATTAACACACCTTACAGCAAATTTAAGCAGTGTTTGACAGTATTTTATGCAACTTTATGTTCACAAGCTTGCAAATTCTTAACAACTAAACCTCAATAAGCAGTTACATGTAACCTGACTCATTAGTCATTGTTAAATATGCATAAATGTTCGCTTTACTCTCAGTTTAGTGAGTAGACCAATATTGTTTCCAAATCACGAGTTCAAAATATGGCAACGAATATCATAGATTCATTCACTCATTTACTCATTGACTAATTGCATGCATTTTCAATTGAAGACATGTGGATTTTGTGTTGATTGTTTTTCCCCTTCCCCAACATATTTGCTCAGCATATATTACTAGATTTTTTCTTCATAATGTCAAAAAAATTGTTTGAACTAAGAAGGGATACATGACATTTACTTAACATAGCGAAGACGGGGAACGTTCTGCTTAACCTACATCATAATCAAGATGCACATCGTCATCTTAGCTTGTACCCTGAAATCGTCAGGACTGTTTTTATAAAATTTATAGAACGTTATAAATCCATATAGGCTTCGTGTGTTTAAATACACCTGAAGATACCATCCTTTCTTATTTTCTATTTTTTGGAAATTTAAAGTTTTTTTTCTTTCTCTCGACATGGTGACAAAAAACTGCAGTAGTATGTAATTATAAAACAGTGAACTGAAATTTGGAGGTTAAGTGGAGGTTTATTGAACGTTAAAAAAAATCAAAGGTCTACAATTAGCAACCTGTCCATACCCTGCAGTAACAACTTTATCTGACTGAAGGTTACAGTTTCATCTTTTAAATATTTTTGTAGTATGTATTCCTGGGAGATTTGGCAAAGATTGCAAAGAGGTATGTGGTTACTGTGAAAGAAAAGAGCCATGTAATCATATCACTGGATCCTGTCCTGGATTGTGTGGACCCGGATATTATGGAGAAAAATGTCTGACACGTAAGAAAAACATTGCCTTAAAATCCTTTAACAACTCCCCCCCCCCTCGAAAAAGGTTTATAGACTGCTTATTCCAACTGATCATGAGTTTACACCTCTGTGTGGTTCAATTGGTCCTCATTTATTTAACATAATTATGTGCAAGCAAAATAAATTTTGAATTAATGAAAGTTTCTTAATGTACTTAATTTTCTAATTAGAAAAACAATCTTGATCATTTTTTTAAAATCTTAAACTAGTATTTTTCCGTATTACGTTTCAACGAAAAGAGAGAGAGAGAGAGAGAGAGAGAGAGAGAGAGAGAGATTTATATAGTGTTAGTAAAACAATGTATTGCTAGTTTAATCAAATTCAATAATCAGGGTCTATAGAAAAATATATAATTATGAATTCGATATAACTTTGAAGAAATTCGGTATATAAAACTGCAGTTTGAAACATTTTATTCTAGACTAGCGAAATTATTTTTTAAAATTGATTCTGTACACTTTTAGGGGCAGTATTTCCTTCAACTGTCCTTAACATAAATATGTATTCTTTAGTATTCAAAGAAACATTCAGATATATGAAAGGACACCGTACTTTGGGTGAAAATAGTACTGTTTTTTACAGCATGTCGTGGTGGTTTTTACGGCAAGAACTGTAGTCGTAGCTGTGGACATTGTTTGAACAAAGTAAGCTGAAATCACGTGACAGGTCATTGTCCAGATGAACTATGTGAACCAGGATATGAAAAAAAGAAATGTAATGAGGGTAAATATTGTGATACATGTAGATACTACCTGTAACAATCAAAATAAATTATTAGAAAAAAATGTGTTTTTAATCCATTTTTTTCAGAATGTGATGACGGGTATTTTGGCAATAACTGTAAAGAAGAATGTGGTCACTGTGCAGGTGAAATGCCGTGCAATAAAACTGACGGTACTTGTCCAGGAGAATGTGCAGATGGATGGATAACACCCCGCTGCAATGAAAGTAAATTTATTTTTTGCATTTATTTTATAGAATCTAAAATTTTAAGGTTTCAATACTTTGCAACTGTGTTTATATATATATATATATATATATATATATATATATATATATATATATAAAGAACGTTCTGCTTAACCTACGTCATAATCAAGATGCACAAGGTCATCTTAGCTTGTACCCGGAAATGAAATCTTCAGGACCGTTTTTGCAACATAGTTAGCAAACGGCATAGATCGATAGGCTACGCATGTACATGTACAAATACACTTGAAGAAATTTAATGGTGTTTTTTTTTCCTCTCATCATGGTGACAAAAACTGCGGGGGCATACAACTGAAATTTGGAAGTTCACTGACAGAGGTCTACAATTAGCAACCTGTCCATACCCTGCAGTAACAAATTTATCTGATTGAAAGTTACAGTTTCATCTTTCTAATATTTTTGTAGCATGTATTCCTGGAAGATATGGCAAAGATTGCAAAGAGATATGTGGTTACTGTGAAAGAAATGAGCCATGTAATCATATCATTGGATCCTGTCCTGGATTGTGTGATCCCGGATATTATGGAGAAAAATGTCTGACACGTAAGAAAAACATTGCCTTAAAATCCTTTAACAACTCCCCCCCCCCCCCCCCCAGCCCCCACCCCCCGAAAAAGGTTTATAGACTGCTTATTCCAACTGATCCTGATACAAGTCATATAAAGAACTATATGCGGTATTAACCAACATTTGCCCCCCAAAATCAAACTTTGATGGAGTAATATTTAATTAAGTCCTTAAACAGGGGAGTGTATGCTGACTTCAAAGCACTAAATAATTTCATAAGTAATGACGTCATATGTACGTAATGACGTCACAAATATGACGTAAATTTCAGTTTTTTATGAATTTTGCAGAAAAATGTACATATTTCGTCGATATTTTGAATAAAAGTCACCGAGCGCATGTGTGTTCAGGATTAATATTTTGATATAATGTGTAGAATGATAATATCAATGAAATATGTAAATATTGTTCCTGAACACACATGCGCTCTATAAATTCTAAAGCTTAAATTGTTGAAATTTTGTCCATTTTGTCCTCTTTCTGAAAAAGGATATAAAATCGGACTAGTTTGTGACGTCATAAAAACAGAAATTGTGAATACACTGCTCTGGAACTATAATATTTTCTGTTAACTTATATTTCTCGTACAATTTATTGAATTCAGCACATTTCAGGAAGTTTTCAAAATTTGACTTTTGTGGGGGCAAACATATGCAATATACCGCATATAGTTCTTTAATACCTGTTGATTTTGAATGTGATTTGACATTTTTGGTTCTTTTTAGCGCGTATTTGGGATAGAACAATAATGTCTTAAAATAATCTATTTTTAGCATTTAACACTGTTTTTGCACGTGCTTTCGGACAAAGGTCACCCCTTAACTTACTTTTTGTAGAATCTTCTGTTTATCCAATTTTTTTTTAATCTATTTGACTATTTCTTTCTGATCAACTTTACTTTTGGATGTTTAAATATTCGAAAAAGATGAATTACCTTATGATATCATAAAATCGGCAAAAAATCTTACTTTCGGCAAACTCATCATTTGTATCGTGCTAGCGTAAACTATACGTAATGCCCAAAAGGTGATTCGAAATTTCTTGACTTAATTGCAAAAGGGTCAGTTTGATTATTTGCTAGGTAATTCCAATACGAGGTACATTGTGTATAACTCTTTGAATTTATTTCTACATTTTGAAATGAAGCGCAATTTCTTTTTACATTATTTGCATTTCTTAGGTGTATTCATGAATTCACTAGAAAGAAATGCGCTGTTCTGCTTATTAATAATATCATTATGTATTCTGCATAAGTAGTGTTTTTGTCTATAAACTGCTAAAAAGGTCATTTCTTAATAATTTTGTTAAATTATTAACTTTCAATTTGTATATATATATATATATATATATATATATATATATATATATATATATATATATATATATATATATATATATATATATATATATTCTTTCTTTCTTTTTTTTTTTTTTTTTTTTTGCTTTATCACAAAGAAACACACAAAAAAAAACATTGAAGGTCTATTGTACTTATGATTTTAAAAAAAAGCAGATGATAAAAAGAGTAATATGTAAAATTTGACAAAATAATGAAACAGTAAAGATACTGAAACAATGGGAACTGTTCTATATGCCCTGGAATCAATTGGACTTCCATATATATTCTGCATAATAAGCGTTTTTGTCTTAAAAATGTTAAAAAATGTCATTTCCTTATAAAAAAAAAATTCCATGTTTTCATTCATGGAAACCGCAATGAAATCATTTGTCTGAAAACTATCAACTTCTTAGATCTAAAAGCAAGTTTTTGATCCCAGATATGTCTTTTGTAGCATGTACGTTTGGAAGGTATGGCGAAGGCTGTAAGGGAATATGTGGTCACTGTGAAAGCAATAAAACTTGTAATTATGTCAATGGATCCTGTTCCGGGCTATGTGAACCTGGATATCATGGGGAGAACTGCCTAACAAGTAAGATATTAATAAATCAAGAATACTAAGATACGTAATTCAGCTAGGTGACTCTTCTTTTTCTAATTACTTATACGTATTTAAGCAAAAATGAATAAAAGTTAATGAATACTCATGATAAACGGAGTCATTTATAAGTACAAAGACATGTCTTTCTTCATTTATAACCGTTTCGAAACTCAGATTAAATCCTCATGATTTGAAAAAAAATCTTATTTGTACAGTTTCTTTTTCCATTTAAATTCAGAATCAACTTTTTAAGCTAAATATAGTTATCAAAATAGTTAAATCTAGTATTTTTTGCTAAGGTTATAAATATGAATTCTTTGAATTTCAAATATGATTATTATTGTAACTTAAATATTTATTTTACGCTCTATGTAATCTATGGAAGCCCATTTACGACCTCTAAAATATTTTTGAAATTCGATAAAACGAATAGTCGAATTTGTTCAAACGAATTTAATTAAGTTTAGCAATTTCTTTGAATTCCCTATTAGGATTTTAATCTGCTATAGCGAAATTGTTGAATTCATTATAACAATTTCTTTAATTTGTTATTACAAATTAAATCCGTTTAAACAAATTCTGAAGTCTGTTATAACAAATAAATTTGTTAAAACAAATTTCCAAAGTCTGTTATAACGAATAAAATTTGTTTAATCAAATTCAATAATCAAGGTCTATAGAAAAATATATAATTATGAATTCGATATAACGATTCATTTTAACGAATTTAACTCATTATAACAAATAATAGTATTCGTTTGAACGAATTCAATTCGCTATAACAAGTTTTAGACTCCTTTTCAATGAGTTAAATTCGTATTAAAAAATTGAATTCGTTATAACGAAATTGTTAGAAATTAAATTATTAAATTCGTTATAACAAATTCGACATTTTTTTATATGAAATTCAAAAATATTTTTCGATAGGTCCTAAATAAGCTTCCGAAGTAATGTCATTGAATTACGTATAAAGATGTACAGATAAAAAGTTTCTTTATGCTCCTTTTAATTTTATTAGAATACAAGGATGGCTGGTTTGGCAAAGAATGTAATGGGGTATGTGGTTACTGTAGAGGTAACAAACCATGCCATCACGTGACCGGATCTTGTTCTGGATTATGTGAACCTGGATTCCATGGGGAGAATTGTGAAAACGGTGTATCGTATCAAATTCTTGCTGGCGTGAGGGAATTGCTTAATTTAATGACGGAGCTAATTTCACACCGAAGACGAAAAAGTGACCTGAAAGAAAAGGGCACATCTCCAACTGATTTTGAATAAGGGACAGACACGCACTCTGTCGTAACAAAACTCTTATTGTCAGATTTTATTACAATTATCTGTTTTTATCTGTCCGTGCAAAGGACGTTTTAACCCCTCTCACATATTTGGGTATCCAGCATTGATATTTTGCATGTATAGAGTATCTCTTGCAGGGCTTGCTCTGGTATTCCATTTTTTAAAGAAAGTTATGGTTCAGCGTTTCTGAGCTAAGGTATTTTATAATTTCATTTTAGTTATTTGCAGTGTAAAATATAATTCATTTTTCCTAAAACATCCAGTAGCCGCATTTCTCATCATGTTAGCATGTTTTTTTTTTTCGTTTAATATGCTATCTATGTTTAGTAACATGTATCTGAATATTTCAAAAACTTAAAAGTCTTATCCAAGACATGTTCATAATGATCTGACAATAAAGTATATTTGTTTGAAACCAATAGAGCTTGTAAGTAAAACCTGTGTGTATATGTTGAAGCAGGTTCCAGCCATACGTCAAAGTTGGTGTACAGCAGTGAGGTTACCCAGTGTATATCGCCCCTGGAGTGTAGTATGCAGTTCACCCTTGGAAGCTATTGTCCTTGAATTACACGATTACTGCATATGTGAAGATTATAATGCCCATATATCTGAAATTGAAAATGAAGCAAACCATCTTAATAGATTTACAAATCGGCACAAAAAGAAGACTTTTGAAAATATACAAATATAAAAAAAATAGGCTTAAAGTACGTAACTTAAACAAAATTGTGATTAAATGTGACCATGTTTCTATATTAATTGTTCCTATTACGTTTAAACAGGATCAGTTATGAGAAAGCTGCATCTCATGTTTCAGTTTCGAAGCAGTAAAAGACTGTAAATTACATAAAATACAAACAAGATGTGCCGGTCGGCAACAAAGTTTCAAAAACTATTTTTATAGCATATTGGTCACAGTCAAGATTACAAGGTCATTGACCTTGGTGTTATTTGAAAGAACGTAAGTAGTGGAGTATGCACATCAAACATGAAGTCTCTATCTCTCATAACTCAAAAGTTATTATATCAAAGGTTTAAGTTGACAACAGGCAGACAAACAGATAAATAGACAAACGGACAAACAGACAGGACAAAAACAAAGTACGCCTCGGATCTATCGATCCAGGTGCATAAAAATTACATACACAATGACTGATTTAAAAATTTGACTCTATTACGTTTCATTTATGACCAAACCGAGTGTTTTTACATTTTACTTTTGACAGCAATCATTTAATAAGCAACAAACAAAAGAATGTAGAAAGAATTCAGCAAGAAATCGACAAATCCTTATAAAATTATATGAACATCGTTGATTCGGAGATATTACAAGATTCTCGTGTAAAATGTTGGCCCTCTTTTATGCCCGAATTAACTGCATAATTCACTTCTATATCTTTTAACATTTCAGTTACCTGTACACTTTTTACAGCGATCCTGTCAATTTACCCATGTTATAGGTATTTTATAAAACAAATCAGAGCTTCTGCATGAAATACAGATTGATTCAAGCTATTCACATGTAGTCTTGAAGATGAACAGATAATTGTGAAAAAAGATCTTTAGTTATAAACTTTTATTTGTTTATTATTGGTAAAATTTGAATGCTTTTTTACGCTAACTGTCAAACTCAACTATTTTGCCTTGGTTTGTTTTTTTATAGAAGAATGAAGTAATAGGATTGAAAATAAGTGCATTTCGTATTGCCTGATTAAAAAACTAATCTGAATACTAGGTCCGAGAACACTTAAGAGTTTCAGGATTAAAATGGTACCTAATGTAATGAAATTCGTCAAATCTAAGCGAAACTATTTTTTAGCAACATGTTGTAAAAAAAGAAGGTTTATACGAAAGTGAAAGAGATAATAATAACACAACATATATTGTCGTACTGCAAACTAAACAACATTATACATAAATTGAGAGTAGATAAAAAGTAAACGTTTATTAAGATGCGAGTTTCGAGATTGCAACTCTACTACAATACAGGTGCAAAAAGTATCCATTTCAGCCTGGAGGTGGGACAGGTTGTTTCTGTATACAAACGTGCATAAATAAATGAACGATATTTATGGCTTTCATAATTTACTTTATGTTATAGAAAGATGATAATGTTAAGCAGTGAATGCATTTGATGATTTATCAATCTCAACTATGCATGTTTACAAATCTACTTTCAATTATAGGTTACTTGAAAACGAAAGAAATGTCGTGGTCTGTATAAAAAGTGAACAATTTTCTTTGATTGTACAAACATTTTCTTAAAAAGTTAATGGGTTTTTTGAAGCTATAAAAAGGAAAAGAATCAATGTGTCATTTATTGCCGACGTGCAATGATCAGACTTCGACAGATGCATGTGTACCGTAGGTCCATGCCTCTTCCCTCGTCTGAAAAAGTCTCACATCGGCACTGGTATTTTCTTTTTTGTTACAATTTTACATTAACTTGGTTATTCTCGAGATGCAGAGTGCATTTTGACAATCATGTAGTTATCATAATAAACCAGTATATCGACGATTCAATTTATCTAATATATATATATAAATATATATATATATATATATATATATATATATATATATATATATATATATGTATATATATATATATATATATATATATAATAAAAAAATCACAACACCGAAATAAACTCAACCGGTTTCATTTCCAATCTTCAGGAGTTTGACAATACAATGCTTAGTTACACAAAATCAACATTCATATTGTGACGTCATAAAGCGTCAATACTTAGTCGCGCTTTAGCAAAGTTCATTATGACGTCATGATAATACGTACATAAGTTATTACGGGAAATTAGATTTTTTTATACAAATAATACAGTTATATTATGCGGGTAAAAGTATATTTCTTAAATGAAATATAATTATGTTGCATTTAAAACAGGTTTATGTCTGTTTATAAAATGTTTTTCTTTAGTTTCACGTTCTTTTTCTGTAGTATCCCTTCGGAATTTGTAGAATGGAAAGACAGTAAAATTAGGGGTTTTATTTTTGGCACAGTTTCTGATGTGTTCGCTTACGGCGGTACACTGGTATTTTGGTTCCCTGATTTGTTGTCGGTGTACGGTCATTCTGTGTCTCAGGGTGTCTCCTGTCTGGCCGATATAATTTTCACCACAACCGGCGCAGGTTATTACATAAATAAGATTAGAACTGGTGCATGACATTGATGTTTTAATAGTAAATACGCTTCCAGTTTTAAATTGAAATTTGGATCCCTCTGTCAGGTATGGGCAAGTACTGCATCTTGGCTTGTTGCATCTATTGATGTTTGCTGGTTCATTGTTGTTAGTAGAAAAGGACGCTTTTGTAAGAATGGATTTGAGAGATGGACTTTGTCGTTTACTCTTAATGATCTGTGAAGTTTCTAATATTTTTTTCATGTCTGGATCGTCCTCTAAAATTGGCAGATTGTTCCTAATAATGTTGAAAATTTCCGGATTTCTTGGGTTATGTGTAGACACGTATGGTATAACATTATTTACTTGTTTATTTTTCACTGTAAGTAGATCTTTTCTTTCTTGAGATTTGGCTTTGTTTATTCCGTTTTCAATCAATTGTATAGGGTAGTGTCTTTGAAGGAGTAGTTCTTGTAGTTCTGTAAGGCGAGATTCCAAGATTTCTGCATCGGAAATTATTGTGCAAAGACGTCTGGCTAAATTGTATGGGATATTATTTCTGGTGTGTCTAGGGTGACAAGAGTCAAATATTAGGTATTGTTTGGTATCTGTTATTTTGTAGAAAACATCCGTTATTAAACGGTTTTCTTTTTTAATAATAACCATTACATCGAGAAAGGAAAACTTATTACTATCCGATTCCATGGTGAATTTCAAAGTGGGGCTCAGGTTGTTGAGAATATTAAAAAATTCCATTAGTTGATCTTCACTTTTGTCCCATATGACGAAACAGTCATCTAAGTAGCGTATCCACGACTTCCTTATAAAATTTTCAAAGTCCTGCCCGAATTTTTCTTTCACGGTTAAATACAGTTTTTCTTCTAAGAATCCTAGGACAAGTGTAGCATAAGTCGGCGCAACTTTGGTTCCCATTGCCGTGCCTAATTTTTGTCTGTAGACCATGTCATTAAAATGCATAAAATTATTTTCCAAGATTAATTGAAGGCTTTCTAAAACAAAGTTTTTTGGAAATCTGTCATTCAAAAGACTAGGAAATCTGTCTATCCAGTGTTCTATTGCGATGAGTCCAAGATCATGTGGAATGTTAGAATAGAGATTGATTAAAACATCAATGTCATGCACCAGTTCTAATCTTATTTATGTAATAACCTGCGCCGGTTGTGGTGAAAATTATATCGGCCAGACAGGAGACACCCTGAGACACAGAATGACCGTACACCGACAACAAATTAGGGAACCAAAATACCAGTGTACCGCCGTAAGCGAACACATCAGAAACTGTGCCAAAAATAAAACCCCTAATTTTACTGTCTTTCCATTCTACAAATTCCGAAGGGATACTACAGAAAAAGAACGTGAAACTAAAGAAAAACATTTTATAAACAGACATAAACCTGTTTTAAATGCAACATAATTATATTTCATTTAAGAAATATACTTTTACCCGCATAATATAACTGTATTATTTGTATAAAAAAATCTAATTTCCCGTAATAACTTATGTACGTATTATCATGACGTCATAATGAACTTTGCTAAAGCGCGACTAAGTATTGACGCTTTATGACGTCACAATATGAATGTTGATTTTGTGTAACTAAGCATTGTATTGTCAAACTCCTGAAGATTGGAAATGAAACCGGTTGAGTTTATTTCGGTGTTGTGATTTTTTTATTATAACAATACGTGTGTGGATTTATACTATAAGTTTTTTGGATTATTTACCACTACACAAGATGCCGAAAGAAAAAATGCTGAAAAGTTACACGATGGAAGAGGATTTTGTACAATTTACAAAAGACAGCCTCAAGATGATTGCAG